ATACATACCTACATACATACCTACATACAAACCTACATACATACATGCATGCATACATACATACATACATACATACATACATACATACACACATACGTACATACATACATACATACATACATACATACATACATGCGTACGAACGTACATACTTGTACATATACTTGCAACTGTTGTTGCAACTTATTGTGTTGTCAACTATCGCTCCTGTTAGTATTAGTCTGCGTCCTAACATTCAGTTCTAGCACTAACGCTACTTCTATGTACAACTTCTAGTAGAACAATCACTATACTGCTGACACTGAGCAGAAACAAGGACGTCATCTACTTCATTAAAGGGTTGCAGCCGTCCAGTATGCTAACAATAGAATGCTGATTTGATGGTGTAGGTAGTTGCTCAGACTACCCTGATATCGATGTCATGGGAAGGGCTTCTGAGGCTTACATCAACGAGCCAGTGAACATATAGATTATGTTGTAGATACTTTGGAGGACTCAGGCATGGTTTGCAGAGTTAACGGGTGCATGCGAGGATGTTTCTGGGGGGCACTTTCGCAAACCTGTACCCATATTCCCCAAATCTAACCCCAAAGCCTTAGTACACGTGTCGTATGGAAAGTTTCGGGTTGGCAGGAGCTCCTAGCTTTCATCAGGCACCGANNAGGTTTCGATCTTGGCTTTAGTGAGACTTCTTCACTTCACCCAATTGGGTTAAATTATACTTTGAGAACTTGGCCTGTGAATGTGTAATAAAGTAGGAATTCGAAGTGCCACTTCATGGCAATGAACTTCCCAATTAGGTGCGAGACTCGACTGCAGTGCAGCTACAGCACATCGACGGTTGAGCCTGAAACGTAATGCCAAAGCCAAAGCGCTCGCCCTTAATTAATCCGTTAAGCTTGTACCTAAACCTAAACCATCAGGTCCCTTAATGAATTAATGAAGGCTCCTAAACGATGTGTAAGCCGTCAACTATATCAACACTGCCAAACCCCCGATAAGTCCCCCTATACTGAAGCCCTTGCCCCCAATGAACTCCGGCCTACCTGAAACCTCAAACCCCTCGGCCCCTTAAGCAAGTAATGCCTCCCAGTATTTGCATTCAGACATTCAGCGAAACACCCCTACACACCCCTTGTATGTATGTATGTATGTATGTATGTATGTATGTATGTATGTATGATGTATGCGTGTGTAT